AGTGACTTAGCAAGACCCTCTCTCTGAATAAAAAATTAAAATGGCTGGGGATGGGGCTCAGTGGTAGAGCCCCTTGGGTTCCCTCCCAGGAGGGAGAGAAAGGGCTTGGGCTAGGGCCTGGCCAGGGAGCGTCCACAGGCGGGGAGGGGTGCACCATGGGCAGGAAGGGGCTGGGAGTTCAGGCGGGGCTCAGTTGAGAAGGTGCTGGAGCACCACCCTCTGGCACTGATCACTTCTTATTTTTCTGGGTTAAGTACCTGAAACTTCCATGGGGTCCTCAGATGCTTTAGACTTCTAATGTCCTTTAGATGCACCCTTTTGCTAGACTTTCTGGCCTGACTAAAGGGGGAAGGAGGGGACTGGTCTTGAGTCTGCCAGTGCACGGTGGCCACACAGGTCTCTGACCCTCCCAGGTTTGGTTTGCCCCACTCTGTATTCATAGCCCCTCTTCCTCCCTGGCTTCCTGGTGGCTGAGGGGCTGGCTGACCGGGCACCCAGCTGCAGTCAGCATGAGGCCCAGAAGGGAAAGGGATTCTGGAACAGAGGACGAATCCCACACTGGTGGGGAGCTAGCTGTCCCCAGGAGAGGGGCTGCCTCTGCTTCCTCAGTGCTGAGTGAAGCCATCAGTGTTTGTTAAGGAGCAAAGGAAAGGTCCTCTGAGTTCTGTGAGTCACAGCGGGTGAGGTGCCTGAAGTGAGAACCAGCCACGTGGGCAGAGCTGGAAGAACATGGAGCAGGTCAGGATGTGTCCATCCCTGCCTCGGCCCCCTCTGTCCTCGGGTGCCACTTACACAAAGCTGAGTGTGTCAGGGCCACTTGATCTTGACGCTGGATTCTAAGATGATAGTGACCTGAGGTTCTCTGCTGGCCTCCTTCCCATCCCCACTTGGGTCTCTTCCTCTTCTGATTTCTTATTTCATAAATGCCACACTCCCTTACCTCTTACAAAACACCTAGAAATTGTCCAAAGCCTCTCTTCCATGATGTGTCTGTAATGTATTGTCAGGGTCGGGCTCCCTCCACCCCAATCTGGGGAATGCTTCAACTCTTTTTTGCTTTAGAAATTTTCCCCAAGTCCCATCTGGGCTTTTGTTTATTTTGTGTGTACATGTATTTACACACCCTTGAGTGGGTTTGTTCTTGTTCCAATGTGGCATTGGTAAGTAGTCGTTCACTGATGCCATAGACATGGATGTTTTTAAAAGGGGGTGTTAGGGCTGTGTGTGGTGGAAGCCTACAATCCCAGCAACTTGGGAGGCTAAGGAGAATCACAAATTCAAGGCTAGTCTCAGCAACTTGGTGAGACCCTATCTCTAAATGAGAATAAAAAGGGCTGGGATATGGCTCAGTGACTGAGGTCCCTTGGTTCAAGGAAGGGGGGGTGCTGGGCACGGTGGGGGGGAGGGGGAGAGGGAGGGAGGGAAAACAAAAGACATAATTAATTCTGCAGACTCCTCTTCAGTGAGTCTGAAGAGGTAGGATCAGCACACTAACTGTAGTGCCAAGAAGACCAGGGAGGTAACATGGGTGGGTGGGTTTCCTCTTGCTCCTGGGTTTTCCTAGGTGCTGTGAGGTAAACCACCATGCTGATCTGGGAAGGATCCGGCTGTGCAAATACGGGGAAATGCTAGCAAACCCTAACATGCTGACTTTTCTGTGATACTGCAGATTAACAAGTGTGATCAATTTTACATTCCATTACAGTGTCTGTTCAAAATTACCACATTCCTTTAAATTTACTGTTGTTCAGCAATTTCAAAGATGCAGCTAGAATGTAACCCAATGGCAGCAGAAAATCAGTGAGATGTTTTCTGTGGGTTAAATAATTATTTTCCAGTGATGCAAACATGTAACAGCCTGTCCATATTTTTCACTGATATAAATGCATCAATTTTCTTGATTATATATCTTGTGAAAAGTAATGGAACAAAACTGAACAAAAGATCCTTTCAGGGAACTTGCATTTGAAGCACTTTTTTAATCTTTTTTTTTTTAAGTATCTCAAATGCTTTTTAAGTTTGTTTATTGGGGGCCTGAGAGCGCTTGCCTGGCATGTGTGAGGCACTGGGTTCAATTCTCAACACCACATATGAATAAACAACATAAATACAAAGGTTCATCAACAACTAAAAAACATTTTTAAAAAGTTTGTTCGTTTTTTTAAAAATGGGGATTTATTTATCTATTTATTAAGGTGGTGCTAAGGGTTGAGCCCAGGGATTCACTTTGCACAGGCTAGGAAAGCACTCTACCTTGGAGCTACATCTCTAGCCTTTTTAATTTTGAGATAGGTTCTTGCTGAATTGCCTTGCCTACTCTCAAATTTACCACCCTCCTTCCTCAGTCTCTTGAGTAGCTAGGATTACAGGCACCTGGCACGCCTGGCCAAAAGCATTATTTTAATGTTGACATTAAATAACTCAGGCCATGACCCAAACTAGTTTTATGTTTATATAATTAAAATGTAATTGAAAATATTGAAATGTAACTTCCAATTCCCTAGAGGGGGTGCCCCCCACCCATCTCTTACAGGTGTGTGCTGTAATAGAAGCCAAGAGTCGCTAGGTGGCTCTGTCCTTTTTAAATAAAACTAAAGTCCGAAAAGGATACAGTTAGGAAACAAAGTATCGTTACTCAGTAGAACCTTTAATCAAAACAATAAACTATAATCTCCAAGCATGGTCCCTCATTCAGAATAATGTGGAGCTACTGGGTGAAAAATTAGACCCTAAAGGAAACCTTCAAAACTGCAGTCTGTATGGGTGATGAATTTGCTGAAAAGAAAGATATTGTATTCTTAAAGGCACCAATTACTAAAGGGGAGATGGCTTCAAACTTTAGTAATGTTCTGCCATCCAGCCAAGTTTTCTTTTGGACCTCCTCTTTTTAGCTTTGAACTTTACAATTTAAGAACAGATATTAAATTTGGGGCATTATAACATCAAGGATTTCTTTCCAATTTCTTGGAAATAGTTTTACTCCTTATTAACACCCCAAGAGAAATCTCAAAATCCAACAAATTTGTTTATCTAAATTAAGAAAACATTTAGGGGCTGGAATTGTGGTTCAGTGGTAGAGCACGTGCCTTGCATGTGTGAGGCACTGGGTTCCATCCTCAGCACCATATACAAATAAAGTTATTGTGTCCATGTACAACTAAAAAATATATTTTTTTAAAAAAGAAAGAAAACATTTAGATCCTTAAATCTAAATCAAAATATGATGTAGACAAACACTATTCCTTTCCATAGTATTTGGTAGGAGACTTAAAGAAATTGTTTCTGGTTCCAAAAAAGATGACTAGTTACATTTGAAGTGAGATTAACATTCTCAGCACCAAAATTTGCTAAGTAAATATCTATCAATTTCTTTGTTTAAGTACCAAAGTACATAAATAAATTTAAATATTCCAAACTGTTAGCCTGTAATTGGCATATGCAGAATAAAACGTTTTCCTTTCTCTCCTCCAGCATTTTTTTTTTTTTTTTGGCGGAGGGGTGAGTACAGGAGATTGAACTCAGGATTTTACTTAGAAGACAAGGTGTCCTTCAGACGTAAGAACACATTTAGGAATACTTTGTATTGGAAGAGACCATTTTCTTATTGTTGTTTTGAACCAATAAATAATGATTGCGCGGTACTTGGGGTCGCCACAGTATTTTACTGCATTTGTTTTTTCTAGGCAGGGAGCCACATATTAGAATAAGTGGAATGCAAGTCATATAATCCAATTAGACTTTTTAAAAAATGAACATTTTTTCACATCTTAAATGACTTTAAACTAGCTTTAAAAGGCTAATTCCGAAGCCACTTAATTGAAGGTCTTTGAAAACGTTCACCATTTTAAAGGTAACGAAATTACACCAGAAGTCTGAACAAACCGGACCTAAGATGAGCAAGTGCTTCCCGGAGTGATGGAACGCAGGGTTTTGCTAGAAGAACTAATCCCCGACTTCAGTGGCTCTGATCACAGAATCCCCAGGGAGTGCAGACAGGCCTAGGTGCCAGGGAACACCTCCCGCTGCACCCCCAAAAGGGCTGAAACTTTCCTCTACGGCTTGCGATTGGGAGACAATCTGCAACGCCGAACGTGCAACGCCCTGGATTACAAAAGGTTTGGGGCTCGAGGTACAAGAAGCGAAGAGGTCTGGGCAGGTGGCCTGAGCGGCCCCGGAATTAACGTGCAGACTTTCCCCGAAGAGATTTATAAGTTTGCGTTACCTCCTCTTTTTAACATTTGTGCTCTTATCTCGTCGCCGGGTTGAGAGGACGGGAAGCGTTCCTTACCTTAAACCCGGTGGCTCCGCCAGCGCACGCGGGGAGGGGCGGAGCGGGGCCGTGGAGAGCGGGCCGCGGCCCGGGAGTGGCGCGCGGATATAAGCTGGAGCTCTCTGGGCTCCGCCCGCACCTGCCGG